TTGATCTAGGGTGGTAAGGTGATCATCTCGTCGACCAAAGCTGAAAGCTTCCGAAATTGGAGTCTTGGGTGTCGTGCCTCCGAACTTTTCATCCAGAGCCGCCTGGCCACCAAATGTGTTGTCACATAGAATGGTAATCTTGCCAAGAATATCACAGAAGCGAAGGTAGTATTCCCTGACATTGTCACTAAGCCTTGCCGTGTTGACAGGTCGCGACAAGGAGCTATCCCGATTCTCCGATGCATTGGGTGGTCGAGGGTCAGCAAGCAAATGTGGGCGATGGAAATGAGTTGGAGCAGAGATGTCGGTGAAGGGATTGGGAATTGATCCCGTGGGGAACGGGGGGCATAGTTGATCGCAATTCTCTAGGTCTGTCATGATAGCAAGGAATGTCCTGATGCCAATGACCATTTTCTCAGGCTCCATCTGCTCAATCTTGAGCTCTTTACCTGAAAGAAAGAGGTCCGAGTTGATCATAGGGAAGATGATGCTACGGAAGCACACATCAGGGTGCTTGAACCCGATCATCCGTACCAACTGAACCAGAGGGTCAGAGACGGCTGGCTCCGTACTGAGATACGTCCTTTTCCCTGGAGGTAAAGCTATTCTGGCCACTTCTTCGACTTTACGTAGAGTGGCCGTTGGTGACTCCGAGTAACGAAAGAAGAATGTCCAAAGCAGGCGGCACATTGCCTGGAGAGCTGTTCCCCGTGTAGGACGATCTTTTAGCCTCGACGGGAGGCTCTGTATCACCGAAAGCCATTGCGAAGAAAAGTTCTCTTTAGTTGAAACGCATAGTAAGAGCACGTGGAGGGGGAATGCTGCAGCCCAATGACGTGGCTTGGTCATCATCTGTGATAGACGAGACTGAACCAAGTCAATGAACTCCTTCCATTTAGGGAGGGTAAGGTCACAGGTAGTGCTTGCTGCTACCGGAAGTAGTAGCTTTTCGAGTATGTAACAGTATGCCTGCTTGACGCGCGGTCCGTGAGCGTTCGCGAACAAGCGCGCAAGTGACAGCATGAATTCACAGCATTTACCCCAGATCTCAGGGTGTGTTCTGATACGAACGTGCCTCATTCCCAAGATCAGGAGCTCGGCCTTGGCATCGCCTTCTTTCGAAGGCCCGCGTAATGTTTCGTCCTTTTGATATTTATCCAGCTCCTGCAGAAATCTGTTTGCAACGCCCGCAAAGCTGGTCTCGCTCATGATACCGAGCAGCTGCGAGTAAATTCTCCAATTGGCCATGCGAAGAGATGACGCCGATATCTGATCAGGATCAACGGCCTTCAACTGACCGAAGACAATGTCCTCCAGGCGATCCACCATGTCCGAAGTAATTGAGGCAAGGCTACTTTGATTGAAGATCTCGATCAGAATTCTGCAAACCAGGTAGACCGACACTGTCGCTCGCCGCTCTGCCATGATGACTTCATCGTGCCTAGACAACAGCGTCCGGGGAGGGGAATTTGAGTCGGACGGTGTAGCTGACTCAGTAATAATCTGAGGTGGCTCCGTGTTGCGCCGGATGAGAAGCCCGTTATCAGCAGCAGGTGGCTTGGGCTGATATTCAGGCAATTAGCAAGAGGTGATCTGAGGGGACCGCGAGACACTTAGAAACTTACCTGGCCAGCAACCTGTTTCGCCACAATAGCCGCATCGCCTATCGCTTTCCTCCAGTACATGATGGTGTCAATCAGGGGCTTCGGATTCCGCCGTGCAATGTAACCCAGAGCTGATATCAATTGGTCGAAGCTTGCGTCTGCACCCGGCCCGCATACCTCTTCGACTGGCGCGTCAGATTCACCAAGTTTCATGATAGCCTGGTTGATCTTGTGTTCGGCTTGTCCAATAAACTTCAACAAGGGTCAACGCTTGTCTTACTCACCATGGAAAGGTGGATTGACTTACAGCATTGAAAAGGTGATGAAGTGCATATTCCTCTGTAGATTTTATATCAGGATGAGGTCTCGAGTGTGAACGGCTATGGGATCGTTCCTGTTTGGGCTTTCCATTGGAATTCATGCGTTTATGCGTCGCAATGGCCAGACTGCCGCTAACGACATCGTCCCCATCTCGATCGTCTATTGTGCCCAGTGTTCCCTGTATATGAGCGCTTGCCCCGTTGCTGCCCTGGTATTGAAAGGTTGAATGCATACTGGGCTGTTCTGGTCGGCCTGACCCGGTACCTTCCGGCTCGACCGCGCCACTTCGACCCAGGGATACGATCAGTTCGGAACTCAGCGGACTGCTTGATGCTGTTGAGGCAGCAAAACTTGGGTTGCGGGAGTGCTGGATCCCGTGTACAATCGAGGTTTGACGGTGGTGACCATAGGAATTTGACGGCCGCCTCTCGAGACCACCATCATATCCGAAACCGGGTCGTCCAGCGATTGGCTCGGGACTTTTAGAATGGGAGGCACCACGGCGGTTGTTCTGAGGCTGTAGACTCGAAGAGGACAAGGAAGCAGAGTCAAGTCCCCTCACCGTAGACGTTTCGCGGCTGTGAACAGTGGACGATGGGGTGCTTCTCGTGACGAGACGTTCTGGTGGAGCTGAAAAGATATGGTGCGACACAGGGTTCGAATCGTCAGGGATGAGGGGCATTGGCGTTGACTGCAACGGACCAGCCTTAATCGACGGATGTGAGGCCACTAGGTAGCGAAAGAAGCAGATTAGCACCGAGCTATCATCTCAAGCCTGTGATAGGATAGGAGGTAGCGATAGAATGAGATTTAGCGTGCAGAGCGGCAGTGTTATTAGACACAAGAAAGCATTTTGGTCAGGCAGGATCACGCACTGTTATACTGGTGGTGGTTTGGAAGTCAGGCTGAATTCATTTCTGAGTAATGCTCTTCTCTGTCAGAGCGGAACAACCCAAAAGATTGAGCCGGCAGTGCATTGCTACTCTGCTGCTTAGAGGTTGTCAGCTGGGACAAGAGATAACGGTTGTTGATGCATAGGTTTGGGAATCACTGAAGCTTTGTTGCTGGAAAGACCGGTTCGTTCGCGACCGAAAGAGGCTCGGAGCACGGGGAAGATGGGTAACAGTGCGGAGGACCTTTAGGAGAGGGAACGTCACTGCTATCCTCGCTCTCTCTCTCTCTCTGTTCTCCCAACATCGAGTCGGCAATATTTTACCTAGTACCCTAAGTTACCTTTTGACTTACTCTACCCCATACAGGCTACAGTATCAAATCACATGATTAAATCAAGATATATCATGCGAAAGAGTTAATTCTTTTGTTATCATTGAATATCCTCGTATTTTCTCTGTTCTTCACGGCAGCCTCAAGCGTCTGTCCAAAAGCAGGAGGTACCGGGTATTGAGGATCATGCTCAAATAAGCTTGAGTATCCGTGAAAATTGTGCATACAAACATTAATTGCTCTGCTATTGAGTTTCCGGAGACCCCGGTCTCGTCCAAGCGATCAACCTGAGAAAGTGAAACACGACACGCACGAATGCAAGGTATCCTTCGTTGAGGACATCAAGGGGGCGGCGAATGCGACCGCCTGGGGTAATCATCTCAAACTTCAGATGATGTTTGTGGCAACTCTGCTCCGTACAGAGCTTGGAATTATCTTCACTGGACTAGACCAGGGTCGTGATAATGATGGCAATAGCGCTAATGAGAATAGGCTGAACATGGACAGTAGAAGAAACCCAACAACATGAAACCTTTCATGGTCCAGACAGCGCTTCAGTGGTGGGCACTATAAGATACCACCATCGCTGTCATGGCTCCGGCAACGGCGAGCAGTCTTACGAGAGATTTCCGACCGCTGACGCGAGACCTACTTGCTAGCGATCTCCTACTGCTACAATATGAATCGGTGCATGGCGGACAAGTTTCCTTGCAACTTGCACACTGCGATAGAACCCTCTAGAAGAATGATGCGCTGTTGCGGATTTTCCTACCACAATGTACAGTTCAGGGTATATGCGGAATGAATCCGTCCATCGTGATGAGGCTGGTCGGGGAACGGCACTGGCGTCTGGAAATACCGCGGCGCGGAAACGTCAATAAGCCTTAGGGGCACGCGGAACAAGCAGCAGTCTAAAGCACAGTTACATCGGTGGTTGTACGGGGATGCTCCAAGTGACACAACCGTAGTCAGAACCAGCCAGATCCCTCGTGCACGAGACATACAGTACATACAGTACAGTACGCAAATGCCCAGGACGGTTGGTTTAGTTATGTGTACAATTTATGTATACGAAAGTGAGCATGTGCTGCTGTATACCAAGTTACCTACGCAAAGAAACTGCCACAAAGGCGGAACTCGGCTAGTTGGCCTGGTGGTCGGCAGCGTCGTTCGGGAGATCCCCCAGATTGTTTGGCGCCTTTCACGTTCATTTCTCGTCTTGAGTCGACCGCCACCTGGGTTTCTGGGATGGCCATAGGCTCATACCAGGGCCGAATTCTCCTTCCGAACCAAACTGTATTTCGGTCCAAGTGTCGGCCCATGGGGTGTATCCCCACACCTTCACATTATCAGAAAGGGTATATATTTCGTAGAACAGGCCCAATTTTCAAGATCACCCCTAGGATCTCGAGGTGACTTGCCAGATCGACCCAACTAACTTGAGGACAATCACCACATTACTGTGGACTCTAACAGCAAATCGATCTTATTCCATTCCAGAACTCCAGAAAACCAAGCGAGACATCCTGGAACTGAAAGACGTCCGAGTTCAATTGCAGTCGAGTCTGATCATCGGAGTCCGGCGACTGCACTGCTGGCAATTTGCAACAATTGCCAAGGATAGATTAGCGGCACGGTTGAACCCACCAGCCGTCCGAGTTCCGAAGCACCGGACCCCCGAATAGGACAGTGGGAATCTGGGAAAGGCCACTTTCGCCTGAGGCACAGACGGGACTCCACTGTTTGTCAACTTTGAGTCTTTGACCCATTTTTTACCAGTATCGATCGTCCCTCAACAGTTCCCGCCCGGTTCTCGGCGCCCCTCCGTCTCATTGCTGCTCTCTGATGCGCCGGCGGTCAGTTTTGTGCTTGCTGCTTGTGACTGAGGCCAACTGATTATCGGCATTTCGTCTTTCCCTAGATCAGACCACGGTTCCCTCATCTTACCCTCCTCGGGTCTTGGCCCTGATCTTCTTCCTTTCTCCCTTTCCGTTCTTCTTCTTCTTTCCTTCTATCTTTCCATTCCATATTTGTACTCTCCTCCCGGAGTCCTCCTTGGAGCACGCCACCTGCTTGGAATTCTTCCTTTGGTGATCGCTGCCGGGACTCGATACAGCCTGAGGGACCTTTCGGTTTTCCCTCGTTTACTCACCCCCCTTCCTTCTTTGCGCCCTCCCGTCTCTCCGCTCGAGTCAGTCTGCGCTTCCTGCCAGGCTTACCCAGTCTCAACATTAACCCCCGGGGCTATTGCTCTCGCATCCCCCACAGAGCTCCTCCCCCGCCATCATGGCGCAACTCGACACCCTCGATTTGGTAGTCTTGGCGGTGCTTTTCGTGGGTAGCGTAGCCTACTTCACCAAGGGCACCTACTGGGCTGTTGCCAAAGACCCCTATGCCTCTACAGGTCCCGCCCTGAATGGTGCCGCCAAGGCCGGCAAATCCAGAAACATCGTCGAGAAGTTGGAAGAAACTGGCAAGAACTGTGTGATTTTCTATGGATCGCAGACTGGAACCGCAGAGGATTATGCCTCTCGATTGGCGAAGGAAGGATCTCAGCGCTTCGGGCTCAAGACCATGGTCGCTGATCTTGAGGATTATGACTATGAGAACCTGGACCAGTTCCCCGACGATAAGGTTGCGTTTTTCGTTTTGGCCACGTACGGCGAAGGTGAACCCACCGACAACGCTGTGGAGTTCTACCAGTTCCTCACCGGCGAGGATATCGCTTTTGAGAGCGGCGCTTCTGCCGAGGACAAGCCGCTATCCTCCCTCAAGTATGTCGCGTTCGGCCTGGGTAACAACACTTACGAGCACTATAATTCGATGGTCCGCAACGTGGACGCCGCTTTCCAGAAACTTGGAGCTCAGCGGATTGGCACTGCCGGTGAGGGCGATGACGGCGCTGGTACTATGGAAGAAGACTTTTTGGCCTGGAAGGAGCCCATGTGGGCGGCGCTGTCTGAAGCCATTGGTCTGGAGGAGCGGGAGGCGGAGTATGAACCCGTCTTCTCTGTCACCGAAGATGATTCTCTGAGCCCTGAGGACGATTCTGTTTACCTTGGTGAGGCCACCAAAGGTCATCTCGAAGGCAGCCCGAAAGGTCCATTTTCTGCCCACAACCCTTATATCGCCCCGATCGTCGAGTCTCGTGAACTTTTCACTGTCAAGGATCGTAACTGTCTGCACATGGAAATCAGTATTGCTGGAAGCAACTTGTCGTACCAAACCGGTGATCACATCGCTATCTGGCCAACCAATGCTGGTGCGGAAGTTGATCGGTTCCTCCAAGTTTTCGGTCTCGAAGGAAAGAGACACACGGTTATCAACATCAAGGGCATTGATGTGACCGCCAAGGTTCCGATCCCCACCCCTACCACGTACGATGCCGCTGTTCGCTACTATCTGGAAGTCTGTGCCCCTGTTTCTCGTCAATTCGTCTCGTCTCTCGCCGCCTTTGCTCCCGATGAGGAGAGCAAGGCGGAAATCGTTCGTCTCGGTAGCGACAAGGACTATTTCCATGAGAAGATTTCGAACCAGTGCTTCAACATCGCCCAGGCTCTTCAAAGCATCACCTCCAAGCCATTCTCCGCCGTGCCTTTCTCTCTACTCATTGAGGGCCTCACCAAGCTGCAGCCTCGCTACTACTCTATCTCCTCGTCCTCCCTTGCGCAAAAAGATAAGATCAGTGTCACTGCGGTTGTGGAGTCGGTTCGGCTGCCTGGCGCCTCTCATATTGTCAAGGGTGTGACGACGAATTATCTCCTTGCTCTCAAGCAAAAGCAAAATGGCGATCCTTCTCCCGACCCTCACGGACTGACCTACGAGATCAACGGTCCGCGCAACAAGTATGATGGTATCCACGTCCCTGTCCATGTTCGTCACTCGAACTTCAAGCTGCCCTCTGATCCTTCTCGGCCTGTTATCATGGTCGGACCTGGTACTGGTGTTGCGCCTTTCCGCGCATTCATCCAGGAACGAGCTGCTCTGGCTGCCCGGGGCGAGAAGGTTGGACCAACAGTTTTGTTCTTTGGCTGCCGCAACCGCAACGAGGATTTCATGTATCAGGATGAATGGAAGGTATGTTCTGGCTCTCCTGACCCTTTTTCAGTATGCACTTGAGACTTACCAAGTAATTTCAATAGATTTACCAAGAACAGCTTGGTGACTCGCTGAAGATCATCACTGCATTTTCTCGCGAATCTTCCCAGAAGGTGTATGTTCAGCATCGCTTGAGCGAGCATGCCGAACTCGTCAGCGACCTTCTCAAGCAGAAGGCAACCTTCTATGTCTGCGGTGATGCTGCGAACATGGCGCGTGAGGTTAACCTTGTGCTTGGCCAAATCATCGCCAAGCAGCGCGGTCTTCCTGCCGAAAAGGGCGAAGAGATGGTTAAGCACATGCGCAGCAGTGGTAGCTACCAGGAGGATGTGTGGTCATGATTCCTTTCGGTGTGCATAGGTTATAGTGATCCTTTCTCTCGATACGACTTTTTGATTCGTATTTTTTCATGTCTAGATGAACTTTGCATATAAACTTCGCCGCATTTCTTGGTTTGTTGCTTGGCGTGGCTCATGTATGCCTAGTGTTTGGTTCTTCTCTGCGGCATTGATTGGTTCTGCAGAGTTATTGGTGTGGTGTGTCGGCCGAGTTTCGGTCATCGACTTTTGCAGGGAACCAAGATAGATCATCATGATAGCTTCCCCCTACCTTCAAATGATTCACAAGTATGCTATATAGAGACCCATGGTTACACAAATCTGAGAAACATCTGTTACTTACTGTATATTATTTTTTTGTGATCGAGACAACCTCACAGGTTCCGTGATTTCCGCGTTCGTGACATTATCGAACTGACTGCTATTCGTCGTCTCATGTGGAAAGATTTGGAGTGTAGACGTGTATGAAATGAAGAAGTCGAGTGTACTACATATGATGATTTGCCCTAGTAGAGAGGATGTTGTCTTGATTCGGCTGATTGCCGTGAAAGAGAGGTGAAGATACAGTAGCACCGATCTTCGGGCATAACACGGAGTTAGAGGCTAGCCATCTTCTGCTACTGAGCGGGAGGAACCCGCCGCGACCATCGTCATTTCACTATCACTAATCCTACCATTCCAGCTTCTTGGCCTTTGGCAATCCCACCCCATCCGCATTTAAATATTTCGGCTCGCAGGAAGGCTATGCAATTACTTGTACAGTTCTGAGAGCGCCGACCTTACCATCACGTTCGCTTGCGTTCTCACATTGTCCCGGGGCGCCCGTCGCTTGTCTGTCGTCTCGTTATCATATCCCCGCAGTAGTCCCCACAGCGAAAAGCGCAACCAGCTATTAGTGCCACCGCCAGGATGGCCTACGTTGTGCCAATCCACCGGGCAAGCAGCATACGACATGCGCTGACGCTGCAGTTCATGAAATCGGAGGAGGAGGTTCTGGTTGTCGCGTTGGTTGACCTTGCTTCTCCAATTCAGACGGGCCTTTGCGTTGCGGTTCAGCGGCTAACAGTTTTCTTTCATTTCCCGACAGGAAGGCGAACCGACTCGAGTTCTACAATCCCACTCCCGATGGATTGAGCCTCGCCGCTTCGTGCTCTCTCTTCGCCAGAGTCACGATGCTGGCCCGACTTCCGGCTCCCGCTGACTCGTCCACCGACCACCTCGTTGTGGGTACAGACCGCTACACCTACTGCACACTATCGTGGGACAGTACGAGGAATCAAGTGCGCACGGAGAGGAACTATGTGGATGTCGCCGACCCGTCTTCGCGGGAGGCTCAAACGGGCAATCGTTGCTTGATCGATCCGAGTGGCCGATTCATGACGCTCGAAGTCTACGAGGGTGTCATTGCGGTCATTCCCATCGTGCAGTTGCCCAGTAAGAGGAGAGGAAGACAGGTCACCTTGCCTTCAGGCCCAGACGCACCCCGCATTGGTGAGCTTGGCGAGCCGACAACGACCCGAATCGACGAGCTGTTCGTGCGCTCCTCGGCATTTTTGCACGTCCAGTCGGGGTTGCCCCGGATTGCGCTGCTTTATGAGGATAATCAGAAGAAAGTGAGACTCAAGGTTCGGGAGTTGCACTACAGCGCGGCTACCGCTACCGTGAGCGCGGATGCGTCGTTTGAGGAGCTGCTAGACGGCTTTTCCGAGGAACTCGACCTTGGGGCCTCTCATCTCATACCGGTGCCCGCTCCTTTGGGTTTGTGCCTCCCCCTTTATGCATAAAAGGATCTGTGACTAATCAGACTAGGCGGTCTTCTTGTCCTGGGAGAAACGTCTATCAAATACGTCGATACGGACAGCAACGAGATCGTGTCTCGTCCTTTAGATGAGGCTACTGTATTCGTGGCCTGGGAGCGTGTGGATAGTCAGCGCTGGCTGCTGGCTGATGATTACGGAAGATTGTTTCTTCTCATGTTGGTTCTGGATTCCAACAATCAGGTCCAGTCTTGGAAGTTGGATCACTTAGGGAACACATCACGGGCATCCGTATTAGTGTACCTTGGGGCTGGAATCATTTTTGTCGGCTCCCACCAAGGTGATTCACAAGTCCTTCGGATCGGAAATGGGTCATTCGAGGTAATTCAGACGCTCTCCAATGTGGCACCGATCCTTGACTTCACGATTATGGACCTTGGGAACCGTACCAACGAAAGTCAAACGCACGAATTCTCTTCAGGACAAGCCCGCATCGTCACTGGTTCAGGTGCCTTCGACGACGGAACTCTCAGAAGCGTGCGAAGCGGCGTCGGCATGGAGGAGTTGGGTGTGCTGGGTGAGATGGAACACATCACCGATCTGTGGGGTTTGCGAGTAGCCGCCCAGGGTGGATTCCTTGATACTCTCCTTGTGACCTTTGTGGATGAAACACGAATTTTCCAGTTTAGTCCGGAGGGTGAGGTGGAGGAACTCGACGGCTTCCTTGGGCTGAGTCTCTCGGAGAACACACTTCTCGCCGCCAATCTACCTGGAGGCCGGATATTACAAGTCACCGAACAAAGAGTCCTGATCGCCGACCTTGAGAGTGGCATGGTCACATACGAGTGGACACCACCTGACCAACTTGTAATCACTGCTGCTTCAGCCAACGATGAATGCATGGTCCTTGTGGTTGGCGGTGAACTCGTGACCGTTATAGCACTCAAAAATGAGCCGCAGGTAGTGACCCAGAAAGACTTCGGCGCCGACAATCAGATTTCTGGCGTCACGATCCCTTCTTGTCCCACCGATGCCTGCATTGTCGCATTCCCCCAGTTGGCCAAGGTCTCGGTTTTGAAGCTGGAAGACTTGAGTGACCTCCACACGTTATCGTTGGGCCCTGCAGGCGAGGCATTTCCTCGCTCTGTCCTAGTGGCGGATGTCCTCATGGACAGTCCGTCAACTCTTTTCATTTCGATGGCAGATGGTAGCGTCATCACCTACTCATTTGATACCAAAGACTACTCTTTGTCAGGCATGAACAAACTCATCTTGGGTTCTGAGCAGCCGACCTTCAAGAAGCTCCCGAGAGGGGATGGACTCTACAACGTTTTCGCAACTTGTGAGAACCCTAGCCTTATCTATGGTTCTGAAGGTCGCATTATCTATTCCGCTGTGAATTCTGAGGGTGCTTCTCGCATCTGCCACTTCAACTCCGAGGCATATCCCGAAGCTATCGCTGTTGCTACGCGCCACGATCTGAAGATCGCTCTGGTGGACACGGAGAGGACAACGCAGATCCAGACCCTTCCAGTGGGCGCAACTGCCCGCAGAGTGGCTTATTCACCTTCGGAGAAAGCTTTTGGAATTGGCACCATCGAGCGCAAACTGAAAGACGGCGAAGAGCAGGTTCAAAGCAGGTTTGTCCTTGCGGATGAGATTCTGTTCCGACGCCTCGATTCCTTTGACTTTCAACCCGAGGAGTTAGTGGAGAGCGTTGTCCGTGCCGAGTTCTCAGCCGGTAAAGATGAAAATGGTCGGGAGGTGATCAAGGATCGCTTCGTTGTTGGCACAGCGTACCTGGACGATGAGGGAGAAGAGTCGATTCGAGGCCGGATCTTGGTCTTCGAGGTTGACAATGGTCGGAAACTGGCCAAGGTAGCCGACTTGCCTGTGAAAGGTGCCTGTCGTGCATTGGCCATGCTAGGTGAGAAGATTGTAGCGGCTCTCGTCAAGACTGTAAGTTCTCCAGCAACACTTGTGAGCGATGTTTCCCCCGCGTACTAACAATTAGTAGGTCGTGGTCTATAAAGTGGTCAACAACAATTTCGGAGCGATGAAGCTGGAGAAACTAGCCAGCTACAGGACCTCTACTGCGCCTGTGGATGTAACGGTGACAGGCAACGTGATCGCTGTCGCAGATCTGATGAAGAGTGTCTGCTTGGTAGAATGGAAGGAAGGTGAAGATGGTCTCCCCGACACTTTGACAGAGGTAGCTCGACACTTCCAGACGGTTTGGGCCACAGGTGTCGCCTGCATCGCGGAGGACACTTTTCTCGAGAGTGACGCCGAGGGTAACTTGATTGTGCTTCGCCGCAATCGGACCGGTGTCGAGGAGGATGACAAGCGCAGATTGGAGGTCACCGGTGAGATCTCGCTAGGGGAGATGGTCAATCGAATCCGGCCGGTCCACATACAACAACTGGCGAGTGTAACTGTCACTCCCCGAGCGTTCTTGGGCACGGTATGTCATCCTGTCCTTTTGATATCACCCTAATCATTGTGCAGACTTCTGACTGCTCTACAACAGGTCGAGGGCTCAATCTACCTATTTGCTGTGATCGACCCACAACACCAGGACTTCCTGATGCGCTTGCAAGCCACCATGGCAGGGAAAGTCGAGTCTCTGGGTAATATCCCATTTAATGAGTTCCGTGGGTTCCGCAGCATGGTGCGCGAGGCCAAAGAACCGTATCGTTTTGTGGACGGTGAATTAATAGAACGGTTTTTGACCTGCGAACCAAGTGTACAGGATGAGATCGTCAAGTCCGTCGGCGCAACGGGTGTTAGCGAAGTCAAGGTTATGATAGAGGCTTTACGGCGACTGCACTAGAAGCTCGAGAGATTTGAGATGACATCTGATCCATGAACACGGGTACAATTTCCGCATTCTGACATCAACTACTTCGTGACTCAGAAATGAACGATTTTTGACCTATTTCTACCATGCTGTATAGATGTCATAATATGATCAGCTTCTGACTGAAGTGAAGGGCGCCCGCCATGTATACTCATCATTCTGTCGTACCGTGCCAATCAAAAGAACATCACTTGAGCAGCGCTTACCATGCCTTGTCTTTTCCACCAGAAGGCTAAATGAGTAGACGTGTGCAGGGTGCAGAATTATGGGGCCCATCAGAGAGCATATCGTAGGAGGAGCCAAATCTATTTCTCACACTCAAGTCCTTGGTCTCCACTGCAACCAACTCAACTCTCCTCATCCCCTCCTCACTACACACACACCCTCTCTCTCTCACACACACACACACACACACACACACACACACTCTCTCTCTCTCTCTCTCTCTCTCTCTCTCTCTCTCTCTCTCTCTCTCTCT